AAAAAAAAAAGGTGGATGTTTGAAGAATGACAGACACCCTCACAATGAAAGCCTAGGTTTGCACAAGAGTGCCTTTTGGAACTCCAAGGACATAATTTCCTTCTGGGGTTTGTGGTTTTCTTGTTCTAATGCTACCATCAAATAACATTTAGAAAAAAAATATGTGGGCTTTTGTTGTTTTAATGTAGGCAGGGTGAAATACTAGAAAAAAATAATCTGAAAAATACACCAGGAAAATAAAAACTCCAAGAATAATGATTTTTATCCTTTCCTTGCCTTCCCCGCCCTCTCACAAACACTGGTTCTCATTCAATCAGTGCTTTACTGGGGACAAGGAAAGGAAAAGAAAGTCACACATAAAAATGATGTGGCAGTTACAAAAACAAAACCTCTGATGGTGCCTCATCTGTCTCCTTGATGAACCCAATACTGAGACAAAACCAAGAGGTAAATATATATCAGCAATGGTCAAGCTTCTTTGTTGACTAGGTTAATGCACTAAGGACAAACCACCCAAGTGTTCTTGGCAGATCAAAAGGTTGTACAGATTTTTCTAGAAACGGAGAATGGCTCCAGAATGAATCTTTTTCTTTTCCCAAGCAGTCCATGGTCTAAGGCAGTGTGTGTCTAGAAATTTGGTAAGGGTTTATGGATCCCCTGAAGATAATTGTAAGTTGGCCTGGGGACCCAACTGACCAAACATGTCATTCTCAAGTGACTTGGCTTGTGTCCTTTACTGTGTTTACTCTAACCTGCATTCACCCCAGCCCAGCACATGATCGTACAGTTAACACATGGAGGGGGTGGCTGGGTTCTCCAGAGGACTCGACATAGGAGCAAAAATGCAGGTAGCAAAATAAGACCTACTGGGAAGGGAATATCTCCTGTAGAGTGTTTCTGTAAAGTTCTCTCCCAAACAGCTGGTGAATAAAGCAGTACAGTTCCACCAAAAAAAAAGAAAGAAAAAAGAATCAATAGTGGCTATGTTTTGAAATCTAGGCTTAACTCAAGTCCATATAGGGATATTGTATAAATTACTTAATCTGTGTGAGTGTGCTTTTAGAATAGGAATACATCACAATTGCCATGAGACTGAAATGAGGTAAGTTTATAATGTTTTTTCAGCTGAGGAGAATGTAGAAATTACAGACAGAATCAAATTAGTTTGTCACTAGAATAGAAGAAAACATGTCTGAGGAAATAAAGGTAATAAAAGTATTGAATGGGGTTGACAAAATATGGTCAACAGGCCACAGGTGGCCCTTACCTATTTTTGTAAAGGCAGCGTTACTGGAATAGAGCCACATCATCTGTTTTTATATTGTGTATGGCTCTTCTAACAAAGGTAGAGTTCAATAGCTCCAAGAGAAACCACATGGTCTATGAAGATCAATACTCTGACTCTCTGGCCCATCCCAGAAAAAAAATTGCAGCCACTGACCTACAATAATGTGAAACTGATGAGGTAGGGAAAAGTATTTTCTGCTCATTTTCTTAACATTTTCAGTTCAAAATAAAAGTTTCTCAAATGTTTCCTAACAGAACTAACCTGGAAGAAATCAGGACCATGTCTGCAGGGAAAAACTCCCCATTTGAGGCCTTTATAATGTCACCCACATTTACCTTTTAAACCAGGAAAGAGAAAAGACAAGTGTGAATTTCAAAAGCACAAGCAAATATAAACATGTCACATATTTTCTCAAAACAAAAAGTACACTCTGAAAAATCCTTTCATCATCTTAATACAATTTCAGTTACATTAGAACACCTTAATTTCATTCATTTCTCTACAGCAATTATTCTTAACCATGGTCATTTTGCTTTCCCCATCAAGCAGGGATATTTGACAGTGTCTGACGATGCTTTTATCACCACGAATATTGGTGTGAGACCGATGAGGTTATTGACATCCAATGAGCAGAGGGCAGGATGCTGCTAATGTCTCACAGTGCACAGGATAGCCCCACAAATCATGAATAGTGCTGCAGTTGGTGAATCTTGCTGTAGTGTAGAATGAAATGCATTAGGACTGGAAAAGTGATACAAAAAGACAGTACTATTTTTGCGATGATGTGGCATTCATACATTATCACATCCGCAGTGGCCTGCTTTACAGTCTGTTTTCGTCTGCTGCTCTGTGAGAGGAGAGACATGTGGTTGAAATTATGCATGTGGAACCTGCAGGCTGCAGAGAGCCTTACAGCTATAATGTGCCTTTAAAAACATAAAGGACAAATTCAAGCTAAGAGGAGATATAAAAATTGATAATTTACAACTTATACAGTAATTTGTATTGTAATGAATAATAAGCCAATTAAAACTTACATCTTAAGTAAGATAACTCACAACATCTGAAAACGTACTGCAATAAGAGAAGGTAAAAGTACAATTTAAACTAGATTTTCCTATAGAAACAATATCAGTGTACAAAATTCTGCATCCATGAACCTGCATCAGATATGTGGAAGGTCATTACTACCACATTTCTTACAAATTCTTTTTTATCTTATTTGTTCACTGCACTTCCAAATGAATTGTATATTAACCTTTTAAGTGTCTACCACGCAGGTGATATAGAAAGGATTCAGAAGAAAATGAATTTTGGGTCCCTGACTTTGGCTGTTTAACATATTATGTCAGTGCAAGGCATGGGAGATAAGTTATCATTCATCGTATAATCAGTGTCTTTTTAAAAGTACATAAGGATGACATACGATATGGAGAGTGAATCTTAGTCCATTACCTATTGTTATAACAAAATACTTGAGGCTGCATATTTTATAAAAAGAGGTTTATTTAGCTCACAGTTCTGGAGACTCAGGAGCATGCCGCTGGCATCTCCCCAGTGCTGGTGAGTGCCCTGCGGGCTGCACACAATGTGGTAGATGGCATTGCGGCAGAGAGATGCATGAAAGTGCTCACATGCAGAAACAGGAAGGCCCAGGCTTGCTGTTTTGTAACAATTCCCTCTTGGAAAAAGTAACCAATATCCTGCAAGAACACATGAATCCCTTCCAAGGGCTCAGTCCCTAATGACCCAATCTCCTTCCACTATGTGCCATTCTTAAAAAGTCCACCCCTCAATATGGACACTCCATGAACCAAACCTCCCACACATGAGACCTTGCAAGACAAATCACATTCAAATCACAGCATTTAGCTGCTGCTCAATAAGCAGCCCACCACCACACATTACCTCTTCTCCTCTGCCCCTGTTTTCCCATTCATAGCAATCAGACCTCCACTCACTGACCCAGCTGCCCTGAGAACTTGTCACTAGAAATGGAACATTATCATTCACTTGACTCCCAACAAGAAAAACTGAAGCCTTTGAGCCACAAATTTTCCCCACTCAGAGAAAAAATATTAAGGATACTTAGGAATCAAAACATATCCAAAGACTTTGTGTTCATCATCTATTAATTATTGGGGAAAAGCCAATACCTAACCCCCCAAACATTCAGTATCACTCTAGCTTATACCTTGGTTTACATCTTATTTGAATGTTCACGTCCTCCAAAGAGTCACTATGTTGAAATCTGTTGGAGGCAGTGAAGATAGAAAGTGATCATGTGTGGGAGGGCAGGACAAGGCCAGAATGCCGAAAGCAATCAAGCTACCTCAGTCTTGAGAAAAACTTCCTGCCTGGTCAATTTCAGCTATTAATCACTGGGCACATGAATGAGAATGGAAAGAACCCACGAAATAGGGCAAACAATTAAACAGAGGAGAATAAGAGGTATACAATAGTAGTCTTTCAGATATTCTTTTGTGTTCAGCAGCAGAATATTTTCATCAGCACACCCTACAAATGGACTTCTCTTCCACTTGATGAGTCATGATTCCACCTGAGTCTACAGGGTGGATTTCAAAGAAATAGCTGTAGTTCAGCTCCACAAGTGACGCCTAGCCACCAGTAACTGTCACGGTTATTATGCATGTCCACAACACACTAGAACTTTGTGCGATATCCTATCCTCAAACTGTTAGAAGTGCTGGTCATTTACTTGCCATTCCAAACGAAGTATGGCAAGAAGACTCCTTGCATAAGTATTTATCTTATGTTTTACTCTTAGTACTTCTTTGCTATCATGAAAACTTTTTCTTAGTTCAATTGTTTTGAAACATTTAATTTTCTGAA